ATAGCTAAAATGACAATGAAGGGGGAAGTTATCATAATGGGTGACTTTAATCTTCCTGATGTAAATTGGAAAACAAAATTAGCTACTTGTGCTAGGAGCACACATATTCTAAACTCCCTACTGGGATTGTCTCTAAAACAAGTTGTTGAAGAGCCAACTTGTAAAGAGGCCATACTAGATTTAGTGTTAACAAATAGAGATTTGGTATCAGATATTACTGTAGGTGAAAGTTTAGGATCCAGTGATCATCAGTCAGTGTGGTTTAATATAAGAACAGTGACTGAGTTACACCACACAAAAACAAAAGTTTTAGACTTTAGAAAAACAGACTTTTCTAAAATTAGAATATGTGTAGAGGAGTCATTATCAGACTGGAGAAATTTAAATGGAGTCCAATAGAAATGGGATTATTTAAAAGTTGCACTATTGAAGGCAACAGAAAATTGCATTAGGCTTGTCAGTAAAAGCAAAAAATTCAAGAAACCACTGTGGTACTCCGCAGATGTGGCCAAAATAGTTAAAAACAAAAAGTTAGCATTTAGGAATTATAAAAAACCCCAGAGTGAGGAAGACAAAATGATCTATAAGATTAGGTAGAAAGAGGCTAAGCAAGTTATAAGAGCTTCCAAATCACACACAGAAGAGAAAATAGCACAGTCAGTAAAAAAGGGGGACACAACATTCTTTAGATACATAAATGAGAAAAGAAAAGTAAAACAAGGATTAGTTAGATTAAAAACAAAAGAAGGAAGGTATGTAGAGGAGGATAAAGGTCTAGCTGACTGCCTCAATGAATATTTTTGTTCTGTTTTTAAGAAAGGGACCCCAGTTAAGAAAAAGGATAAATTAGTCATTTATTACACGTGAGTTTACAGAGGAAGAGGTTCTATTTCAACTGTCAAAAGTAAAGACAAATAAGTCAATGAGACCTGATGGAATACACCCAAAGCTATTAAAAGAGCTTAGTGGTGTACTAGCAAAACCATTAACAGATTTATTTAACCAATCATTGTTAACAGGAGTAGTCCCAGAAGATTGGAAGTTAGCGAATGTTGTGCCCATTTACAAGAAAGGTAATAGGGAGGAGTCGGGCAACTATAGGCCAGTAAGCCTTACTTCAGTAGTGGGGAAAGTGATAGAAACCATGTTAAAGGATAGGATTGATGAACATCTAAAAACACATGGATTTCAAGATCAGAGACAACATGGGTTTACTTCAGGGAGATCATGCCAAACTAATCTTATTGATTTTTTTGATTGGGTAACTAAAATTATAGATCAGGGTGGTGCAGTAGACGTTGCTTACCTAGATTTCAGTAAGGCTTTTGACACTGTTGCACATAGAAGGCTTATCAATAAACTGCAATCTTTAAGTTTGGATTCCAATATTGTTGAATGGGTAAGGCAATGGCTGAGTGACAGGCAACAGTCACCAGTGGGGTACCTCAGGGATCTGTACTTGGACCCATTCTCTTTAATATTTTTATTAGTGATATTGCAGAAGGTCTTGATGGTAAGGTATGTCTTTTTGCTGATGATACTGAGATATGTAACAGGGTTGATGTTCCAGGAGGGATAAGCCAAATGGCAAATGATTTAGGTAAACTAGAAAAATGGTCAGAATTGTGTCAACTGACATTTAATGATAAGTGCAAGATAATGCATCTTGGACGTAAAAACCCAAGGGCAGAGTACAGAATATTTGATAGAGTCCTAACCTCAACATATGAGGAAAGGGATTTAGGGGTGATTATTTCTGATGACTTAAAGGTAGGCAGACAATGTAATAGAAAACAGAGAATGGAGTCAGCGCTAATATATCAAAAAGAGATACAAGGGGCAGCAATCCCAAACAAGGACTCCCTCAAGTGACCTTGGAATAAATACAGAAAGCAAACAAAAAGCAATTTTGTACAGAACACTGGTGAGACCTCACTTGGAGTATTGTACACAGTACTGGAGACCGTATCTTCAGAAGGATATTGATACCTTAGAGAGGGTTCAGAGAAGGACTACTAAACTGGTTCATGGATTGCGAGATAAAACTTACCAGGAAAGGTTAAATGATCTTAATATGTATAGCTTGGAGGAAAGACGAGACAGGGGGGATATGATAGAAACATTTAAATATATAAAGGGAATCAACACAGTAAAGAAGGAGACTATATTTAAAAGAAGAAAAACTACCACAACAAGAGGACTTAGTCTTAAATTAGAGGGACAAAGGTTTAAAAATAATATCAGGTGGGCAGAGCCTGACAGCCGAGCAGAATAGTCGCACAGCAGACAAGCTCCTGGCTTAAAAACCCAAAATCGATCAAAACTACTGCAAAGTTACTTACACAGCCAGCTTTCCAGCCCAAAAACTATCGGTACACGATGGAGAAACAGCAGAACCGAGAACCGGACAAACTCTGGCGACTGCAGCTGAAAAATAGCTCTGAAGCCTACCCGCGGTCTACCCAGACGGCATGGGGAAGACGGCCGATCCCCCAGCCGACTGTGACCAATTACGCCAAAGGCCTGCCCGGAACATCTTCTCCACCCCCCGCCGGTGGGGGTTATCCCGGCAACAAAAATTAGTAGCCCAAAGCAGAGGCACCAACCCCGGCATGCCGGCTGCGCTGGGCCATCGACACCTCAAATGGTGGACACCACGCAGGCCCACGCACCCGAACCCTACCTACTCCCGTTATCGGAAAGGCTGTCCAAACTACTGCCAGACTTCTGGGCAAAGATAGAGGGCCGCAGGGGCACGCCGGGGGGACCCTACCGGCATCAGCCACAAAGGTCTCCAAGCAGGAGCCCATAACAGCAAAACGAGTCCAGAGAGAGACCTGGAAAGCGGGGAGACGTAGGCGGGAGACCCGTCGCAAGCTTGAGCACCTCAACTCTCGACCACGGGTGAGTCGCCCAAAGCCTAAACAGGGGCTCACCCCGGGGCTCCCCCCGCACCGCTTCCCACTTAAGCACAAGCAGCAACATGGGGCACCACACATAACAGATGACCACTCACCTAGACGGCCTCCGCTCTCCCCCCAACAACCTACAGCGACTGCAATGAATAGAGATATAAGACAGAGGCAGAGAGCTCAGCACCTACCTCACCCGTGCACAGCAGCAAAGCAGAGGGAACCGGAGAAGCCAGGGCCTTCTCGGGCACCCACAATATCAGGGGGGACCCCGCTCCAACCGCACGGCCCAGCATTTCGAGACCAGAAGATCTTACGCAGCAGAACACATGGACACAGGGAAGTGACTCCCGATCCAAACCGGGCACGGGGATCGATGCGGCTCCAGCACTGCATGAGAGAACTCAAGCGACACCCGACCAACCCTTGTTCCCATCGGTACCCTGCCACGACAGAAGGCTGCTTAGCAGCCGATGCAGAGAACTCTCTATCACGGCCTGCACGTGGCGTTGGATGAATGGCGTCCGGTGATGCTACCTGTCATCTGTTACTAATAATGCATAGAAAGGTTTAATTTCATGTTTATCATTACATGTATATTATTTTATCATTTTATGTCCACTTCACCAGTACCCAGCGGTATATCTAAAGCTAAATAATCTAACAACCCTACTATGACTAATAGCTACACGCACGTCTTGATGCAGAGTGATTATTTCTGATGACTTAAAGGTAGGCAGACAATGTAATAGAGCAGCAGGAAACGCTAGCAGAATGCTTGGTTGTATAGGGAGAGGTATTAGCAGTAGAAAGAGGGTAGTGTTCATGCCATTGTTCAGAACACTGGTGAGACCTCACTTGGAGTATTGTACACAGTACTGGAGACCATATCTTCAGAAGGATATTGATACCTTAGAGAGGGTTCAGAGAAGGGCTACTAAACTGGTTCATGGATTGCAGGATAAAACTTACCAGGAAAGGTTAAAGGATCTTAACATGTATAGCTTGGAGGAAAGACGAGACAGGGGGGATATGATAGAAACATTTAAATATATAAAGGGAATCAACACAGTAAAGGAGGAGACTATATTTAAAAGAAGAAAAACTACCACAACAAGAGGACATAGTCTTAAATTAGAGGGACAAAGGTTTAAAAATAATATCAGGAAGTATTACTTTACTGAGAGGGTAGTGGATGCATGGAATAGCCTTCCAGCTGAAGTGGTAGAGGTTAACACAATAAAGGAGTTTAAGCATGTGTGGGATAGGCATAAGGCTATCCTAACTATAAGATAAGGCTAGGGACTAATGAAAGTATTTAGAAAATTGGACAGACTAGATGGGCCGAATGGTTCTTATCTGCCGTCACATTCTATGTTTCTATGTCTATGTTTCTAAAAAGCCTGCAGGGACGGGCTATAGACACCAGACAGAACCACAACATTAAGCTGTAGTGGTTCTGGTGACTATAGTGTCCCTTTCATGTGAGGTAAATTTGAGATTAATGCCACTAATAATATACTGGATTGCCTACTTACCACTGAAAGGGTTAATGCTGTTCTGGACTCAACTCCCCTCGATTCTCGATTCTCTGGTCACCACATCAATTGACGGAAGTTTTTGTTTAGCAAATTAAGACACAGACACGAAAGAGTGCTTAACAAGTTCTCAATGAGTATATTTTCAGGGCTAGCATTTATACACAGTTTGTCACGCAAGTAGCGAGATTTATCGTTTCCTTGTAGTTAATAGTACATACTTGTCTGACATTAAAAGCATTTTTTTTAAAAAAGCATTTGAATAAAGACGGGACAGGAACATCCTGAGGTCGAGCGAGGTCATACATCCTGTAGAAGGGAGGCCTCTCAAAAGCATGTTACAGAATACATCTGCCAAGTCAGCATAATTATTTCAAACATTATTTTAAAGCATATAAAGCAAAAATAATTAACTATTTCATATCCTTACATTCCCCTCTTTGAGCAAAAAATTTGCTCATATTACTGATAAAATCTTCCCAGGACAGAGAAACTTCCACATGGTATTTTCAGAGGTGCTAGTCACTCCCTGCGTGACTTTCATTAATTTCTTGACCTTGATTCCCATGTGGTAATTCCTAAGGCCCAGTTTTAAAGATGGGTTGATCCCCTCCAGTGGCAGAGAGTAGAATTTCCAATTGTTTCTATTCTGCATTATGGATTAATTTCTGTATTCTCTTCCTCAATGTATAAGTAAGGTGGCAGTTATGTAAAATCATACACAATAAAATCAGGACTATAATAACAAGAGGATAGAAGAATGATTTCATTATCTGGGATCCAGTAGGGGACCAACCAGTAAAAGCATCGTACCAATGATGGGCTAAATCATTCTGAATTTGTGTACTCACCTTAAGGAGTTCTCCTTTTAGGATATGTGTGGCTACCTGTGTGTGTACTATAGCATCATTATGTGTAACAAGATGTTTAAACATATTTTGTTTTCCTTTCATTAAGGAGACAGTAGTCTCAAGAGGTAAATGGTAATCTTTAAAAGGCAGAGAGCCTAATAGGGCCTTAATATGTTTGTCTAAAGTGATTGTGTCACTGAAATAACATTGGGTGCCATTAAGATCTAACCAGGTAACATTAGTAATGACACATGTACAGCTTGTAAGAAGGCAGTTGTATTAACACATGTGGACGGAATAGGTGTGTGTGTGTCATTGTTGACTTTTGGTTCTATGGTAGAGGATAAAGGACAGTAATAAGGTGTAAAAATATAAGGTAGTGTACAGTTCTCAATTGCAGTGTTGTTCATAATGACTAACATTTGTCCCCTTTTCCAATTAATGGTACCAGTTGTATAATCATTATTAAAAGTAATAAGGCCTGTCTGTTTACATTGATATGCAACCTTACTAATTTTCTTATAATATATATCCCAAACCTGTTGAGGTGTTTTTTTCTTACCATCAGAACTTATATTAAATAAGGTGGCACAGATGCTAGTGTAATTAGCAACCTTAACTGTGCACATTTCTGCATTATAAGATCTAACAATTTTCTGTGAACCTTCAAACAAACATAATGCATCGGTTTCATTAGCTGTGGACACATTCCATATGGGTAACTGGTACTTATAAGGGTTATTATTTGTCCAATTCATCCAAATGCGTTCAGTCAATGAGTGATTGTATATTACATGCTGATAGGTGGTGGAGAAAGGTTCTTGAGGGAGCGTGTGTGACGAATGCTAGATGAGGGGCTAAGGCCTAATTGGGCTGGGGGTATTGAAGAATTGTTCATCGTGTCAGAGTCTTTTCTCCAGAAACAAACAGGTTTCAAACTTCCCATTGACTTGTACTCATAATGGCATTCAAGGAACAATATCAGAGGGAGTACAACAACTCCAGAAAGCATAGCGCAAAACATAATCTTGATCTCAGGTTCGTATGATCCTCTCAATCTACGATATGGTGTGAAAGCCATGATGCTTTGCTAAGGAGAAATTCTTCTGTTTCCGAGTCAGGAGTGGTGTTGTCTTCCTTGGTTCCCCTCTTTGGAAACAGCTTCACTTGGGATACGTGAATCCAGATGTCGTGGGAATCTGTGAGGACAGCGGTTCTGCCTACAACAATCACAGTAGCAGGTGGTCCGAAAGGGTATCCTCCTTTCTTGGTCCTGTTCAGCTGACGGATATACACTATGGATGAGTAGGTTCCTGTGAAGGTAAGGGAAACTGCGAAGAAACATTGCCATATATACCATTCAGTTTTATCAACAATTCCTGTACATATTGTTCTTGTATTAGCTGTAAATCCCCAGACATTATAACAAGCGGTTCCCTGGCCCAGGGTGTGGGAAAAGGTTGTCCCATCAGAATCTCAAATGGAGATAATTTAGTCACCTTGTGGGGAGTCATTCTTATCTCAGCTAAAATTGTCCAATTTACCCATGTTCCTGCAGTAGCTTTCATAAGCTTCTCCTTAATGGTCCTATTCATCCTTTCAACTACCCCTGAACTCTGTGGATGATAGGGTATATGAAACTTCCAGGTAACTTGCAAGAATTTAGCAAATTCCTGGGTAACCTTACTGGCAAAAGCCGTGCCAATATCACTGTTAATCTGCAGAGGGCAGCCACACGTGGGAATAATTTCAGTAGCAAGAATCTTCACTACAGTCCTAGCATCCTCCCTAGATGTCACAAAGGCCTCAGGCCATCTACTAAACTGATCAACTATGACCAGCAAGTATTGCTGTTTCTTACCAATTTTGGGTACATGAGTAAAATCAATCTGTAAGTGTGTAAAAGGAGCAGCTGGAGGGGGCAAATGTTCGTGCTGTGATTTGTGTGGAATATTAGGATGTGTTCTCATACATGGTTCACACGATCTTATAAAAGACTGTACATGCTGCCTGAGATTCCTAATATAAAATGAATTCATGAGGAATTGGATGGTGCTTGCTATGCTTTTGTAACCAGGACCATGTGCCTGACTGATGAAAATAAAGCAGCTGGCTTCAGGTATGTCTATTCTCCCCTCTTTAGAGAAAAGATCATTCTGATCTTTCTCTAAACCTTGTTTAATCCAAAAATCAAAGTCAGATTGCGTTGCAAAGGCTTGGAGCTGCAAAAGCAAACTGTCAGTAGGGCATGTGGGAGGTGTGAGCATAGCAGGAAACATTTCATAGTAAAGAGTCTTGGCTGCAACTTCTTTTGCCACTTTGTCCAAATCACACCAAAATCATGCACTACCCCATGAACATATCGTGAGTCTGTGTAAATGTTCACTCGCTGTCCATAGAAAAGCTGACAGGCACGTGTGAGAGCAATGAGTTCTGCAGCTTGTGCAGACGGCTGGAAAATAGTCTCAGCTTCAATGATTTTATCAGGTAACTGTACCACGGCATAGCCTGTGAGGTACGTACCATCATTTGGTCTGGAGCAAGAGCCATCCACAAATACAGTGCTCACATCTGGGCCACTGAGTGCTGTGGATCAGAGGTCTGCTCTGGGAGATGTGGCAATATGTATTTGTTCGATGCAATTATGAGGCTCAGATGGTATAGACACAGAGTCAGATGCAGAAGGGAGAATAGCATGCAAAACAGACATAGGACCAGAATTAACAGGACTATAGACAGATTCTGAGTATTAAGAAGAAGAATCTCATAACCACTTAAGCACTGGGCTGTCATGTGTTGTGTGGTGAGATTTTTTTATAAGCTGAGTGACCTGGTGACTGGTATGGAGTATTGTAGGATGCCCTAGTGGGTTAGTAGTAGCAGTCTCAACAGCCATTGCACATGCTGCCAATGCTCTGAGACATGCCGGCATAGCCTGAACCGGAGCTGTTACTACTTTGGAAAAGAATGCTATGGGACGCATACCGCCTTCGTGCTCTTGTGCACCGACCACGGCCATGGTTTTACAGTTGTCCCGAGCATACAAATGAAATTGTTTACAATACACAGGTAGTGTGGGGTAGGCTGGGGAATCCACATCGCCTTGGGGTAAGCGTGTCCAGGTATACTGACAGCCTTCAAAAGTAAAAGCCATAAGTAGCTGTGTCTCTTGATCAACAGGTATAGAAAAAAATGCATTACTTAAATCAATGACAGTGAAGCAAATGGCATCATGTGGAATGGCTGTAATGATGTCACATCAGGGACAATGGGTGCAATGGGCACAATTAAACTATTCAGGGTTCTAAAGTCCTGAACTAAGCGATAACCATTACCTTTAGGAATTGGATTAATAGGTGTGTTATATGGGGAAACTACTGGCTTTAGTATTCCCTGCTTTAGAAAAGATTGGATCATGGGGCGAACTCCTTCAACCTTGGCTTCTGACAGGGTGTGCTGTTTAAGGTAGATAGGAGTTACATCTGGTTTTAGTTTGGATTTGTAAGGAGTGCAGTTGACAAATCCTACATCTAACTTAGAGGAAACCCACACAGAGGAAGGAACATCAGACATATCAATAGTTTCAGAACACAACATAGACACATCAATACCACCAGAGAGCATGCAAGTAATGGTAGCTCCCAGAATACCAAGAAGATCCCTTCCCAGCAAACTAACAGGACATTTAGGTATTAGACGAAAAGGGTGCACAGTAGAAGAACCATTAAGAGGACAGAAAACAGACAGTGGTGGTGTAACAAAAGTGGATGTTGACACTCCATTAATACCCAATGAAGATGTAGACTTTTCCCTTGTCCCCTGATAATAGGTGTCACAGAGACTGGAACATGTAGCTCCAGTATCTACCAAAAATGGCAAGGATCTACCTTCTATGACCAGAATGCAAAAAGGCTGATCATCATTAGTAGAGGACAAAAGTGGAAAAGTTGGAGTGTCACCTTCAAGGCAGCTCTATTGGGGCCATGGGATGTGATGAGTGTGCTGGTCAGTGGTACCTGTGAATGGCCCTAGTGCAGTTTGGGTTTGCTGGAGCGAGGGGGGAGGGGGGAAGTGCTGGCTAGTGGTGTTGGGAGTGGGCCTGGTGTTGTTCTTGTCTACCAGGCTTATTTTAAGAATTGTAGGGTTGTTGGGGCGGCTGGGGTTTCCTGGGGTGTGGACCCTCATTCCTCCAGTGGCCATGCTGGCCACAGTTGAAACAAGTGTTCCTGTCTATTCCTCCTTGATTACCCCTGCCCCTATAGCCCTGATTTCCCTGTCTCCATCCCCATTGCCCCTCTTTGACCACCCCTTCCACTGGCTCTATGTGCTCCATCCCATCCTCTCTCTCGGGCCTGTGTAGGTGGACAGTGTTGCAATCCCTGAGCATAATAAGCAACCTTACTTCCCGAATCTTTTCTTAAGTCAAAACAACCTGCATTTTCCTTCTCTATAACCTTGGTAAGAAAATCGGAGCCACCAAAATTGGCCCAGTCTGAAATCAACTGTTTCACAAGCAAAGAATACTCTGGCAACATATTACCAAGGCATGACTGTATTTTAAGGAGATCCATATCATCTCCAGACCTCAAACCTGCCTCATCCTTCCAACACTTGTAAAATCTCTTTACAAAAATACCAATTTCTTCCTTTGCACCTTGCTTACATGCCAAAGCAGTGGATATAGACTGCTTATTCTTCCATAATCTCAACAGTTCAGCTTCCACCTCGTCCCACATTTTAGCACATCCTGCTGAAGTACTAAGCTCATAAACACCATCACTACCAGCCTCTCCAACTCCAGTACCGTTGTCTGTCTCACTGGTAGAGGTTGGGCATGGCCGGGGGTTGACTGGGTAGGGGGCACAATTGGTGGTGGATATGGATTCTCAGGAGGGGCTTCTATGGGAAAGCGGATGGTATTACTGTCAATAGTTCCCTTTCTCTTAGCCAGGTCTTTCTTAGCTCCCTTTAAAACCTTTCCTGTTACACTACAAGGAAACCAATGAGGGGCTATCTGCAACCAATTTTCACCTCCTGCTTTCATATATTCCTTATCCCAATCTGGATCAGGACCATACCACGGCCATGACTTCCTATCTCCCAAACACAATCCTCGAATCATATTCATATGGAAATCATCATTAGCCCCACACCTGGGAAAAGGATCAGATGACTTCATAGTTTCTGTCCATCCTGCTAAATTTGACACAAAGAGGATTGTAGGAAATCCTCCTTGTGCTCCTATTCTAGTAACATAATTTAGACATGACTCCCTGGGTGGGGTAAAGGGTAAGAAATAGACTGATTATTTCCCATATTTCTGGCTCAGGGTAGAGACACTACCTACTTACCAACAGTGTGTATCTACTTAACAAGCAAAATAAACACAAAGCAGACACAGGGTGACCAGAGGAATGAGAAGTTTGGTTATTCTAGATCTAAAAACCGTGTTTCCTAGAACACCTATAGTCTTAATAAACCGGAGACTCCTTTATAGTCTCAAAACCTGTATCTAACTGAGATACCCTGTATCTATCTTAGATACTAACCTGGGTTACCAAGAACCCTATACTAGACCAACTGTCCAGTAAAAACCGGAGACCTATTTACAGTCTCAATATAACTAAAGTCCTTACACCTTTCCTATCTACTGGATACATACTTACTGAACCAAAGGGGGTCATAGACAATCAGCGTCAATAAGACACAAAAAGGCTACTTACCCACAATGGTCCTGCTGTAATCCCACTTCTGACACCAAGCTGAAAGGGTTAATGCTGTTCTGGACTCAACTTCCCTTGATTCTCCGGTCACCACATCAATTGACGGGAGTTCTTGTTTAGCAAATTAAAGCGGCGCTGTCATGCTGTCCCCCCTCCCGCCTCCACTACATCTAACTGACCCACTAGTCACCCCCAAATGTCCTTAAGCACCCCACATTACTTATTTTTTAATCTTTATTTTCTGCCCCGATCTTTATTCAGGGCGCCGCCATCTTTGTGTGGGTAGATGAAGTCCCTGTGGGACACGTCACCTGCCCACACTAGATAGAACTGAGATTCCCGCACATGCCCAGTGAAACACCTGGACATGCGAACGGGAATTTCATCTATTCATTCATTCATCAGACAGACGAATGAATGAATAGAAAAATCAGATGAACAAACAAACACCGAATATCAGCGTTTGTTCGTTCAGTTTATTACAAGGAGGGAGCTACCGGCATGCAGCTCCCTCCTTGTAATATGTAAAGATAGAAGCTGCAGGGAGCAGTGCTCCCCACCACTTCATAAGTCCCCCAGGCCCTCCCTCACTCAATGGGGGTCAATATGACCCCCATAATAGCATAAGGGTGATTAAAATCTCCCCAATGCCCCTACTCGCTATACCGCGAGTAGGAGCATGTCCACTAAACAGTGTGCAGCCTGTGGCTGCTCACTGTAAAAAAAACCAAAAAAAAATATTGGCCCCCACCCCTAAACGACAGATGGGGGCCCTAAAGTAAAATAAGGGGGGAGACCTATTGTCCCCCCCGAACCCCACCCCTGCGCGGTGGGTGGGGGTCATAATGATAATGAGGGGGGGACCTACTGTCCCCCCCGCCCCCACCCCTGGGTGGTGGGTGGGGGCCCTAAGTCAAACTCACCCCCCCCCAACAAAGGTGATTAGGGGTCCCCAAGCCCCTAGTCACCCACCCCCCCACCCAAATAAAAAAGTCCCCTACCTACCCCCCTCATCCTAAAAAATAGTGAGGAGGGAATAAAATAACTAACCTGTAAAGTAAAATTAAACTTACCATTTGACGTCTTCTTTTTTCTCAAATCTAAATTTTTCAGCCCCAAAAAGGCCAAATAAAAAACCATCATAACCATCGAACTTAAAATAAAATAAAAATCCTGAGCGCAAAAAAAAAACCAGACGAAAAAGAAAAAAAACGAGCGCCAAAAAAAAAATTCATCTTCACCCGTGGAGGGCTCCGCGCAGACTGAGCTCCGCAGGGCCTGGGAAGGCTTATAAAGGCTGGGGGGTGCCATGGCCAGCCCCGCCGCCCCCCCCATGCTGCAGCCGCCCGAGCGCTCTGTAGTGAGCCTCGGGCGGCTGCAGCTTTGCCCGGTTGGTGCGTCCATGAGGGCGGACCGCACCGCCTGGGCGCAGCCTGAGGAGAGGGGCTGACAGGAGGGAAGCGCTCAGCGCTCAGCGCTCCCTCCTGTCACTACCTCTGTAGTAGCGTGGCCGAGCCCTGTATAGTCGGGGGGTACAGGGAGCAGCTGTCTCCTGTACCCGGCCGGACTAACAGGAAGTGCACACAGTGTGCACTTCCTGTTAGTCCGGCCGGGTACAGGAAACAAAAGCTACCTGTACCCGCCGACTATACAGGGCTCGGCCACGCTACAGCAAAGGTAGGGGGGAGGGGGGGATGAGAAAGAGAAAG